CTTCAAGTCCTGTGCAAAAACGCATGATCGCACGGGCCCGTCCGGTGCGTTCCAGCCTGGGTTTAGCTTCTAGATAAATGATGCTCCATGAAAATCACATCTTGGTATAAAAATCGCGAGTGCCTTGGGTGTCTTTTGTTAATGGTGTTAGTAGGATGCTTTTGGACGTTGGAAGCAGATATGCCAAGATCTTACACAATATGGATAATCAATCGACTGAAAAATATAATTATTCAGGCTTCTGGAGAACCATCGTTTACGGTTGAGCAGGCGAGTAAAGCGCTTAAAGCTTACAAAGATCGTAAACTAGCGCGACAGAAAGCACGAGAAGAAGAAGCGTGTTATGTGGAATATAGAAAAGCTGAAATTTTGACAAAAATCAGGCCCAAATATGCAACGCTTGGTAGTGTTGATGAGGTGAGTTACATTAAACAGCAGTGATGACATCGATGATAGTGATAACAATAGGAGTAATAATAATAATGATAACAATAATAATAGTAATAATAATAATGTTTCTAATGAGAAATTTGATGATCGAGGTTCTAAAAGCCATTTCACTTCATTTTAATTGCTTTCCTGCAAAAACGAAAGTTTGTGGTTTGTGAGTTCGGACAGCATTTCTGATTGGGCACTCCGTGGTACTCGAAAACTTAAGTATAAAAACATTTTGAAATTCTTGTGACAGGTATGAAATTTTCAGATGTTTCCGAAGCGACGCAAAGGTTCAATGGGATTCGGTGAGCGCAAAGCACATTATTTATCTATTCGGCCAAAAGCATGTTATGCAACTTGGCTGGGCAAGCGTAAAAATGTCATTGAAGCAAAGTAAGTCATGCTGAACCAGCGAACAGGTTGCACTGATGATTCGTGCAGCTATTCGAAACAGTTGTTCTGTCTGTGTTTACAGCTAAGCGATGAAACATAAGCAGCTTACCGGCATGTTCATCTACAATGTGACATAAACTTTGTCCTCGCTGACTTTATATAACTTTAGATTACCAGCACACACGCCTTCCGAAACGTCTTACTTGTACTACAACCACATTTATATGAGAGATATCTGTGTAGTGCAGTTAAAAAGGTGTATGAAACAGGGGCGGTTATGGATACTTCATGAAGCTAGTGTATCACACGTACTGGATTTTGCGACTGTTTGGTTGTACGATTACATGTGGTCTACCCTCTGAACGTTTTTTGACACAACTGTACTTGACGTGCTAAGCAGTTTTATCTTGGACTTATTGATTTTGAAATGAATTGCTGGACCTTAATATCAAGATCAGGAAGTTGTCGGAAATCATGAACTCGAAATTGACTCTTGAAAGCTAAAATTAACTAATATTGCCTAAAAAAAACATGCAGTCATATGTAGCCCTTCATGAAGCAGTGAGTCGGAATCACTGAAAGCTTACCTTCTAAACACCCACTGAAAGAAGAAGCCGTCGATATCTCTGCAGATAGAAGGATGCTACTGACGTTTGCTACCACTCGAGCTAGCTCCAAATGTCTCCGGCTCCCAGAGTGAATTATAAAGAAGATTCAGCTTTAGACTTTTAAAATTAACCAATTTAGGCCTACACCAACAGCAATAGCCGCAACAGTTGACATGACTGACCACTCGGCAGCAATTACCATGTTTCCAAAGCAGATGGTCAAGGAAACGATTAGTTCTGAGACAGGCACTGAATCATCAAAAAAAGCTGTCGGTACCAAAGTAAATTTCACTCTTTTTACTGCTTTTTGTTTTTTCGTGGAACTGACCGAAGTTCACTATCTCTTTTTGACCACTATTAGCATACGCACATTTTAGTATCCTGATTTTCCGCGGCTTTCAGGTCTTAGTTTTTCGCAGAGTTTGAGAATTGGCAAGTTAAAAAGCAAGTCGTCTGTGAGAGGAAGCTTTCGATTGTGTTTTTTTTTTT